CCCCCCAAGGCCTCCGCCCGTGCGCCCTCGACGCAGCCAGCCCCCCCCCAACCCCCCCAGCCACCCAGCCACCCAGCTAGCTAGCTAGCTAGCTAGCTAGCTAGCTAGCTAGCTAGCTAGCTGTTCACATGAGGAGCCTCTGGAACTCGTCGTAGAAGACCAGGACCAGCGCGGCCCCCGCGCCGCGCAAAACGTTCGCCCAGGCGCCCTTGAAGAAGCCGCGGGGGCCCTCTTGGCGGAGGATTTTGGCCCAACAGTCCACAGTGGAAGAATACTGAATTTCCTCTTGGGCTCTGCGGCCAGCCATCATCATCATGCGTCTTCGGACTGTGTCGAAGGGGTAAGAAACGACTCCTGCTGCTGCTGTCACGCTCTGAGCCACCGCCCACTTCAAGAACAAGTTGCTTTTGGTCTTGTCCGAAAAAAGAACTGCTTTTGCGGTGTCAAAGAGCCCGAAATAAGCCCCCCTGTACACCACGATGCCCTGTACAGACACCCCGAAGCCCTGGTACAGCGAAAAAAAGCCTGTTCGCAAATACACTTTTCGCAAACAATCTGCAAGTCCCGAAAACTCTCTAGCGGCTCCTTTTCCCACGTCAGAGGCCAGCGCAGTGCGGGCAAAGTCCAGTGGGTAGACCACTGTGAGGCAGGCGGCGCCGGCGAGCCCGCCCGAGGCCACGTTGGCCAGGAAGAACTTCGCGAACTCCTTTTGCTGGTCGAACTTCGGGAAAATGCGTTTGAAAGTGTCCTTGAAAGTGAAGTTGAAGGCCTGCGTCGGGAAGTAGCGGATCACGTTCGCCAAGTTCCCGCGCCACAGCGAGAGCGCCCCCTGCTCCCGCGAAACCCGCACGAAACAGTTGCCTATGCCGGTATAACGCGGCACTCGGCCTTCTTTTATGTCGGGAATTGAATCTTGAGTTTGAATTAGCATTTTAACGCGCTCAATGGGAGCCACGATGGTCTTGGACACCCCCGCAGACACCCCGCCGGCCATGAAGTTCTTCGCCGCGTCCAGCAGCGCGTTCTCCGCGCTCTTCCCCTCTTTCGCCGCCATTTTCGCCCGCAATTTGCAATTTCCAAAACTATTTCCAATTCCAAAAAGATTGTCTTCCAATTCCCCGCAGACACTCCGCTCCGAAGCTACGCAGCCTGTGGGGTTCGCAGCGCGCGCCTCCGCAGCCCCGCCAAACCCGCAGCGCCCCGCGCTTTCTTGCTTCCTCTTTTCCTCTTCTAAAAGCGACAAACTTCGCATGCAGCGCTTGCAGCCGCAGAAAGGACCCACAGAACGACGCTGCTGCTGCTGCTGCTGCTGCTGCAGCAGCAGCAGCAGCAGCACTCGGGCAGCGGCTGCTGCGGCGCTGCGGCAGCCGCTGCTGCCGCTGCTGCTGCTGCTGCTGCCGCTGCTGCTGCTCCGGCCGCCGCTAGCGTGACCCTGAGCAGCTTCTGAGTGTGTGAGCGTGTGTTTTGCTTTTTCGCACTTTTCTTTTCTTCTGCTTCTTCATTTGAACTCCCGAAACCCAATTTGCTGCTGCTGCTGCTGCTGCTGCTGCTGCTGCTGCTGCTGCTGCTGCCCGCGCCCCCGTCTCAGCAACTCCGCGCTATGCTTCTGACGCGCGCGACAGCAGCAGCAGCGCCTCGGGTGTTTTCTCGTTTGCTGCCTCGCACCTCCTGGGCAGCTTCCCGCGCTCCCGCTGCTGCTGCTGCTGCTGCTGCTGCTGCACCTGCTGCTGCTGCTGCTGCTGCAGTGACCCGCCAGCAGCGAACCATGTGGCTCTTCTCCGCCTGGCGCAGCGCAGCAGTGCCCCCCGAGCTGCTTGCTGCTGACCTTTGGAGCTTAGCAGCAAAAGATCCCGAGGGAAAAGAAGTTCCTTTGAAGGACTTCAAAGGAAAAGTGCTGCTGATAACAAACACTGCAACAAAGTGCGGCTTCACGCAGCAGCACCTCAAGCAGTTCCACGACCTCAAGCAAAAGTTCGGCGACCAGGGCTTCGAGGTGCCGCAAACCCTAAACCCTAAACCCTAAACCCTAAACCCTAAACGAGCGCCAACACACGCAGCTGCATCCGCGGCAGAGGAAGCAGCAGCAGCAGAGCAGCAGCGGGAAGTCTGCTGCCTTGTCTTCAACTGCTGGCTGTGTTCTTCTTCTCGCTGCTGCTGCTGCTGCTGCTGCTGCTGCTGCTGCTGTGGGGTGTACGTACACCGCAGATCCTGGCCTTTCCCACGCTGCAGTTCAAACAGCAAGAAGAAAAAGACCCTCAAAAGATGTGCGAAGTTTACAAAAGCTTTAATGCCAATTTCCCAATCTTTGCAATTACTGAAGTCAACGGGCCCAACGCAAACCCCATTTTCCAGTACTGCAAGTTCAACACGGACGAGGTGAGGGTTTAGGGTTTAGGGTTTAGGGTTTAGGGTTTGGGGTTTTTGGGTGTTCGCGAGAGGGGTTTGGGGTGAGCCTTGGGGCCGTCGGCGAGTTTTCCAGGTGCTCGTTGGGGGGCTGAGAGGGCTTGAAAGTTTAGGGTTTAGGGTTTGGGGTTTAGGGTTTAGGGTTTAGGGTTTAGGGTTTAGGGTTTAGGGTTTAGGGTTTAGGTTCATAGAGTCAGCCGTCCGCAGGCTATAGGGTTTGGAAAGCTTCCTCTGGCCCTTGCGGCGTATATGCAGGTGTAGTATTAAGCGGTCCGCGGGAGGCTCCAGGGTTGAGGGTTTAGGGTTTAGGGTTTAGGGTTTAGGGTTTGTGTGGGTGTAGGGTCGGTGTGTAGCGTGTGTGCGAGGTTGAGGGTTTAGGGTTTGGTTAGGGTTTAGGGTTTGCTGCTGCGCTGCAGCTGTACTCGAAGGGGCAGCTGCAGGCCATTGGATGGAACTTTGGAAAGTTTCTTTTGGACAGAAATGGAAAAGTTTTTAAATATTTTGGACCAAGACAATCTCCTGCGGAAATGGAAGAAGACATTTTGCTGCTGCTGCGGGGAGAGGCTCACGGCAAGCAGCGCAACAAGGAGGGTGTGCTGCAGTAGTTGCTGCGCTGCAGCAGCAGCAGCGCGGCTTGCTGCAGCAGCTTAGTTCTGCTGCAGCAGCGCGGGTTGCTGCAGCAGCGCGGTTTGCTGCAGCAGCGTAGTGCTGCTGCAGCAGCGTAGTGCTGCTGCAGCAGCGTAGTGCTGCTGCAGCAGCGTAGTGCTGCTGCAGCAGCGTAGTGCTGCAGCAGCAGCGTAGTGCTGCTGCAGCAGCGCACTTCATGTTTTCTTCATTCTTCATATTCTTATTTAGTTCGAAGCTGCTGCTGCCAAAAGCCAAAGTACAGTTGCAGCCGAGCTGCAGCAAGACTGCAGCAAGGCTGGCAGCAGCAGCAGCAGCAGCAGCAGCAGCGGCAGTAACAGGGGCCGCGCAGAGATAGAAAGTGTGCAGGCTGCTCCGGTGAGCTGCTGCAGCAGCAGCAGCAGCAGCAGCAGCAGCAGCAACAGGTGGTATGTACAGAGTGGTTCACGTTCAATGTGCCTCGCAAAGGCTGCGAAAGCCAAACCAGGTTGCAGGGTTTAGGGTTTAGGGTTTAGGGTTTAGTGTGTGTGGGGGCTGGAGTCTGCAGCCGAAGCCTTTGGGGAGCTTCGCAGCAGCAGCTCTTTGCTGCCATTGTTTTATCTTGTTCAAACCCTTTCAAACCCTAATCGAAACCAAACCCTAATCGAAACCAAACCCTAATCTAAACCTCCAACTTCGAACTTGAGAGTTTTAGAAAGGAAAAATGACAAAATAGGAAGTTTTAGAATGTCTAGAAGGGCACAAATGCTTCGAATTCAAGACAAAGTTCTTTAAAAGAAATGACACTTCGGGTTGCTGCTGCTGCTGCTGGCGGCACCAGCCCAGCAGCAGCAACTGCGGTGTACAGACACCTGCAGGCTTGCTGCTGCAGCGGCTGCAGCGCTGCCACGGCAGCAGCAGCCCACGCTGCAGCAGCAGCGAAGCAGCAGCAGCAGCAGCAAAACAGCAGCAGCAGCAGCAGCAGCATCAGGCGCTCATCCAAATTTCGTCTGCTGCAGCTGCCTGTACACTCAGAGAGGGCAGAGCTCCTGCTAAGAGTGCCAGGGTGTCTACAGAGTCCAGAGGCATTGATCCCCATTCATTTATTTCATTTATTTCTTCTTTTGTTTCTGAAGAAGGCAAACACTGGTGATAAGGAGAGTCCTTGCGAACTGCCAGGTCTGTACGTACACCGCAGCGCATGCAAAACTCTCCGCGTACACCGCAGAGTCTGCAGTGTAATGACACCTTAAGGGGAAATTATTGGACACTTTTTGATTTACTTGAATTTATATTACTCTAAAGATCTATTTCCAAGTGTAGTTGTGTCTATACATGTATGTTGTATGTGCATGCATGCATGCGTATTATTATGATAATATTTTCTATTAGTGGTAGTATATATATCACTATAATACGCATGCATGCATGCACATACAACATTATGCGGAATATTTGGACTATGCATAAATAATAAAGTGTGTAATATGCGCATGCAACTATGCATGCATTCAAACATATAAATGTATGCATATGTGGCCAGCACTAAGGCGCAAAAGTAAATACCACTGCTGCATGAAAAAGAGTCTAAACCCTAAACCCTAAAACCTAGGCCCCAAACCCTAAGTCGCATGCAGGGAAAAGAGAAACAGAAAAGCAACCGACAATGCACAGAGACAGCACTTGCGCCGCCCCCCCTAAAATAGCCCTCCACACACCACATGCATGCATGCATGCATGCATGCATGCATGCATGCATGCACACTATTAACGTTTTGTGTACTTAGCGCCCCCAGCCCGGCTTGAGCCCATTTAGCTGCTCACCCAAAACTCCCTGCGACTTCAAAAAGACAGCCACTTGCTTCCTGCGGTCTTGTTGACTGAGACACCTCAGAGCAGCAGCAGCAGCAGCACGAGCTTTGGGCAAAAGGGGGGCCCCCGAGGTACTTCCTGGGCCCTTGCCGGGGGCGGGGGCCCCCCCGGGGGCCCCCGCAGGGGCCCCCACACGGGGCCCCTGTGCTGCTGCTGCAGCACGAGATGCTGATATTAAAGCTTCTAGACGTTCTGTTAATTCTTTTTTCTGCTGGCGAAGGAGGCTGTCGTTGTAGGAGAGGATCCACCTGGTGTACGTACAGCGCAGACTGTGGCGCAGCCGGGTGTACATACACCGGGCTTTCACTTTTCCTTTTATTTGCAAAGTAATCAGTGCAAATGAAAAAAGAAAAAAGTTCAAAAGTGCTGCTTGGAGGCATGAAAAGAAGTTTGTTGAAAAGAACAGAAATGGAAGATGCAGCAATCAGGAGAGCAAGTAGTGAAACGACGCAGAGGCAGTTGCAACTGAATAAAGAAGCAAATGAAAAGTCCGAAAACTCATATTGAAATTAAATTTTAAAAACTTAAAACGAAATTAAATTATAATGGAAGTTTGGGGTTTGCGCGCCTGTTTGCTATTTGCTCTGTGTACAACTTGGCCTTGATGCATTGCTGCAGTGCCCAGTGGGCAGTGAGGCCTCCCCAGTCCACGAAATCGGCTCCAACTTTAAATTTGAATTGATTGCTGCTGCTGCTGCTGCTGCTGCTGCTGCTGCTGGGTTCGCCGCTGAGCCTGTGGGGCTCTGCATGCGCTGGCGAGGCCTTCTCGGCCTTGTGTTTTGCTGCCAAGAGGCCCCACGCTGTGCCCAGCAGCTGCAGCACAAATCCAGTTTCGTTTTTTCTTTTGCTTCTGCCGAGGAAGAAGCCCTCGCCGCTCCAGCAGGCCACTGAGGGCGGCCTGTACAGACAGCTGGAGCCGAAACACAAAGACAGCAGCAGCAGCAAAGACGCAGTGTAGCGCGTGTAGCTGCTGTGGATTCGCAGCAGCAAGTCGCCGCCCGGACACAGCAGCAGCAGCCCCTGAAACGCAACACGCAGCGCATGCATGCATGCATGCATGCATGCTTGCAAACACGCGTGCATGCACGCGTGCATGCATGCATGCATGCATGCAAACACGCAAGCTCCCATGCATGCATGCATGCGTAAATGTGTTCATGCAAGCATGCATGCAAGCATGCAAATATGCAAGCACACAAGCATGCATGCACGCATGCAGACATGCAAATATGCAAGCATACAAGCATGCGTGCATGCATGCATGCAAACATGCAAACATGCACGCATGCATGCATGCGCTTTTATTTTTGTTTATACTGAGAGTTCAAAAGGATAAAGCCAGCAGCGGGGCAAACAAAATCATAGGCTGCACTGCAGAGAGCCCAAGAATATAAAAGAAAAAAATGTGGAAAAAATTCTTGAATTCAAAAGAAAACAAATGAGAAATGCAGAAATATCCGAGCCCCCTGGAGGGCAGCTTTGCAACAAAGGAAGAGGCAGCAGCAGCAGCAGCAGCAGCAGCAGCAGCAGCAGCAGCAACCCCGGGGAAAAACACAAAATCGAATTCCCCAAAAACGCCCACAAAAGAAGCCGAGCAATCGCCAAATAGTTCTGCGTGTTTTGAACTGCATTAAAATGGCAAATTGGGTGAATGTTTTCGAATTTGAAGGATCATTTTGGAAATAAAAAAGGGAAAAGACAAAAGAAGAAGAGCAGCAGCAAACCTGAAAGATCTGGGCGAGCAGCAAAAGCCCCGCCTCGATCTCGGCCTGGGCGATTTCTTCGTGGACTTGAACAACAAGTCCTCTTTGTCTTCTTTTTTTTTCTCCTTTTTCAAAATTGTTTTTTTCTTCTTCTCCTTCAACTTGTGCTGCTTCTTCGCGCCGCCAGTGCTGCACTCCGGTGATGTCCAAAGACACCAAAGAGGCTCCATCGCCAGGCAGCTTCGACAGCACCTTCTCTTGCACTTGCTGCACGCAGCCGCCAAACCCTAAACCTTAAACCCTCAACCCTAAACCCTAAACCCTAAACCCTAAACCCTGAAGCCTGAACCCTCAAGGCTCGCCGGACAACGTTAACGCCACTACCCGACATTTGTGTTATTTCATGCCGAGTTGATGCAGACATTAATAAAAACGGAGGCCTGAACCCGAAGCCTAAACCCTTATTCTGAAACCCTAAACCCTAGTTGTGGCAGCTGACGCGTTTGATATAGTCTGCTGTTTCTCCTCTTGCGAATGCGGACAAAACATCTATTTCCTGGACTCCCAAGAGAGGCCCGGCCTTGGGAATTGCAGCTTCCAGCACCTCCCGGGTCACAGGCTGCTTCCGGAGCTCCTGTTGCTGCTGCTGCTGCTCCTGCTGCTGCAGCGGGAGGTTCAGCACGACGAAGCAGCTGCAGCCGTGCCGCCTCAGCATCAACTGCAGCGGGAGAGCCAGGGGGGCCCCCCAGCTGCTGATCTCCACGGAAACAGGGTACTTCTTTCTCCAGAGGGCTGGGAAGTCCTTCTCAGGGGGCCCCGGGGGCCCCCGTCTTGAAGACCCTGGAGAAAATACCACTGAGGGGCCCACCGGGGTGGCCTCTAATTGCTTCAGCGCAAACAACAAGTCTATGCTGCTGCTGGGGGGCAGCTCCTGCCCCCCCAGCTTTTCGCCAAGTGCAGAGGGCCGGCCCTCCAGCAGCAAAAAGTCCGCAATGGAGACTGCAGCGCAACAAACCGGACAGCTGCTGCTGCTGCTAGCGCACTTACTGCTGCTGCTGCTGGTGGTAGCGCCCTTACTGCTGCTGCTGCTGCTGCTGCGGCTGCTGCTGCTGCCGGTCAGGATGCAGCAGCCACCCACTAGGAGCCCGCAGGGCCAGCAGCAGACAAAATAGCATGCAGTGAAACAAAAGAGACAGACAATGAGAAAAAAAGACAAGAGAAAGACAGAGCCAGGGGCAGCAACCAGCCCCCAAATGACGAAGCAGCTGCAGTGCAGCATGCAGCAGTGCATGCGGCCACAACGAAAAAAATGCATTATTAATGTCAGGTGGGGCAATTGATTGGCAATTAAAAAAATTCTACACAAAAAATTAAAAAGTAGAAACCCAAAAAGGGAGAATGAGACGAGAATTGCAGAAGATGTGATGGCAAGTGCAAAAACTGAAAAAGTAAAAATCTGAAAACACCTGGAAATGAGAAGAGCGCAGAAAGAAACATGAACAAGAAAGTAAAACAAAACAAAGCAACACAGATCAGAAATTAAAAGGGTAATTTGGCAGTGAAAAGTCCCTATTCGGCTTTGAAAGAGCACCAGCAGCGAAACTTTAGCGTCAAACCCTGAACTCCAAACCCTAAACCCTCAACTCTAAACCCTAAACCCTAAAAGAGCGAACTCACAGGGCACTAGGAACGGCAGCAGGTGCCGGAGCTGTCCCACAACAGTCATAAGGCGGTCATCAGCAAATCGGCTTATCTGCACTGTGTAAGGAACTGAAAGCAATAACAACAACCCCACCCTTTTTGCCCATTGTGTCTGATCTCTTCAACTCATTGAATGCATTGTGTTCGATTCCAACTCAACTTCATTTTCGAGTTCATTCTAGTGCTCTCATCTTGAAAAGAAAAGAGGAAACAGTCCAATTAGAAGAGAAGAAAAAGAAGCGCGATACGAGCCGTAGTACCGAAGTTCACGGCAGCAGCAGCAGCAGCAGCAACAGCAGCAGAGACCGAACAGCAGCGGCAAAAACAGCAGCAGCTTCGATGCAAGGAGCAGCAGAAGCAGCAGCAACACAAACCCTAGCCGGAGCAACAGGAGCATTGGGGCCAGCCCCTGCACATCCACTGCCATCTCCAAGTCTGCTAGAACAGCAGCAGCAGCAAAGGAAACAGGAAACAGAAACAGCAGCAGCAGCAGCAACAGCAACGCCCCACTGAGTGGGGATGTTCTGCGCACCTAAGGGCCTGAGGGGGTATAGCCAGCAAGATGGTCTTGCATTATATTCTCCCTTTTGCAATCCTTGCAGCATTTCATCTCTCCAGGCAACTGCAGCAGCAGACGGAACCCAGGTGGCACGGTGCTGCTGCTGCTGCTGCTGCTGCTGCTGCTGCTCGCTCCAGCCCTGGCGAGCCCGGGCCGTGAACGTGGTGAGAAAAGAAGCCACGTCAGGCGCGCTCTGCTGCTGCTGCTGCTGCTGCTGCTGCTGCTGCGGCTCCTCTGGATAAAGACACAGCCACGTGGCTGTAGCTTCGACTTCCTGTGTCTGCGGAGCAGCAAATCTTTCACAACGCGCACTCCAAACCCTAAACCCTAAGGCGTAAACCCTTAACCCCGAATCACTTACTAAAAATTTACAAGAGACTGAGACGAGAGCCCAGCAGCACAGGGTCAAGCAGCTCGCTGCTGCTTGCATTGATGCAGCTCCTGCAGCAGCAGCAGCAGCTGCTGCTGCTCCTGCTGCAGCGACGATGCAGGAGCAGCAATTTAGCGAAGACAGAGAGGCAAAGATCGTTTAAGACAAAACACTCACGGCCGCTTCTTGATTGTCTTCTTCGTCTGTGCAGACCACATAACGCCACAAACCCTAAACCCTAAACCCTAAACCCTAAACGCTGAAGAGCCAGGCTCCAAGGGCTTCAAGTGACAGCGTGAGCCTCGAACCCCAAACCCTGAACCCTAGACCCTAAACCCTGAACTCTAAACCCTAAACCCTCACCATCGATAGAGTAAAACTCGCTGATTGCAATCGCACCAGGTAACTCTCCATCGCCGCCACTCTCGCCTGTTTCACAAGAAACCCTCAACACCTTAGACGCTAAACCCTAGCTTAAGCCCTAAACGTAAACCCTAAACCCTCGGCCCTTTAGCTTGCACCCTCTCAGACTGCGAAAGTGCTGCAGCCACAGATATCCAACTGTTGCTCTGCAAAGGGTTCCTCAACACTCCTCGACCCCGGCTCTCAAGCGGTAAACCCTAAACCCTAAACCCTCGATGGTAAACCCCAAGCACTCAGCCGCGAGCTCTAAACAGTGCAAATAAATGGCTCCCGCCTGACTTCTTTTTCTCTTTTTGCCGCTAAAGCCTGAAAAGAAAAAAGTTCAGAGTTGGCACAAACAGTGACAGCGAAAAGAGAAACAGAAGCGGCAACACCACCAGCAACGACAGCAGCAGCAACGGAAGCCGAAGCAGCAGCAGCAGCAGCAGCAGCAGCACTGTGCTGCTCACTCATTGTTTTGGCCTCCTCAAAGGGGGCGTACGTACACCGCAGCAGTGCATCAATGCCTGCTTGGGAAGTCAAAAGACACAAAGCTCTGCTGCAGCCACCGTGCTGCTGCCACTTCTGTTCCCGCTGCTGCTGCAGCTGCATGTACACCTCGCGGAAGCGGATGCGGTCAGCCAGCACACCCTGCACCCTTTCCCTGAAAGCAGCAGCAGCACTTCCAGTCTCTCAGTTTTAATGATTTCTTGCTGATGCTGCTGTTGCAGTTGTCTGACTTCTGCTGCAGCTCGCAAAGCCACCGTGGACGCTTCTGTCTCAGTGCAGCACAGGTGGCCCTTCAGAAGATAGCGCAGCAAGCAGCAGCAGCAAGTGCTACAGAAGCAGTAGCAATTGCAGAGTTAACAGTTATCGGAAAAGTAGAAACAGCAGCAGCAGCCGCAGCAGCACCATCTCAGAAGATTCGGCAAGGCAGCAAAAGCGGTGCACCAGCAGCAGCAGCGCACCTGCTGCCTTTTCTAGTGGAATTGGTGTAGCCATTAGCTTCCCACTCCCTCACGAAGTCTTTGTCGGGGACAAGTCGGTCTTCAAAGCGAATCGGCCTGCGCCAAACCCTAGCCTCCAAAACGCAAACCCTAAACCCTAGTCCCAGACACTGAGGTAGGGTTTGCATGTACAGGCCGGCGGGTTTAGGCTGCTGCTTCCTGCGCTGTGTTCTACTGCAAATGTGGAGGCTGAGGTGTGCATGAATTGCAAACGTTGCACTTATTATTTGCAAACAAACAAAAGTAATGGCAAATGTTTTAGGGTTTACTTGATGTGGTTGGACTCTATGAACTCTGCTGCCGTCTGCTCCCTCTGCAAAGACAGCTGCCAAAGCTCATGAGATGTGATGCTTTTGTATCGCCTGAGAAAGCCCAAAAGACAACCCACTCGTGGCCCAAAGCACTGACACAAAGCCACGCCACACGAATGCATGCAGTGCGTAAGAAAGCCCCAAGCGGCGGCGTGGGAAAGACGGAACGGACTCAATAGACAGCTCAATGTGCTCCGCCTGCAGCTGCGTGAAGAACTCCGCGCATTTTCGGCATTCCGCCAAAAAGGCCTGAAATGCACAAAAGGAAATGTCAATTTTGGCAAAGTGTGTGCCAATTTGAAGGCAAAGGCAAACACAAAGAGAAATGAAACAGAAGAACGGGACTTGTGCGCCAAAAACAATTCTAAAGAGGAAACAAACACTCCCGAGGTGCCTTTGCAAACCCAAGAAAAACATATCTTTAGCAGACAGCCCCAGAAACAAAGCAAGAGAAAATAACAGAGTAACTTGAGAGGAAAATAATGAAAGCAAAACATATAAGAACAAAATAACAGAGTAACTTGAGTGAAAATTAGTAAAAGAAAAGCACATACAGACAAGGCAACAGAGTAACTTGAGTGAAAATTAATAAAAGAAAAACACACAAGAACAAAATGACAGAGTAACTTGAACGAAAAATAATAAAAGAAAAACACATAAGAACAAAAAGAGAATCAGAAAAGACAAAACGCGACTGAGACCGAAGCAGACAGCCTACATCTGGGATCCACTCTCTGGGAATTATGGCCTTCTCCAAACTAAAGCTGTCCACAGCACTCGAAAGTGCCCGCAGCAACGGGGATCGGATCCCACGGAAACCCAGCCCCAGCAGATACACCTCGCTGTTGCCCGAGCGACTCATCAGCGGCTTCACTACCGCCACCTGCAGCGCAGCAGCAGCAGCAGCAGCAGCAGCAGCAGCAGCAGGAAGCGTAGCGTAAGAAGCAAGCTCAGCGGCCGCAGCTTGAGTCGCTGCAGCCGCAGCAGCAGCAGCACCAGGAGGGGCAGCGCGGGCTTCTCACTACTGTTCATTACTTTTAATTAGTTTTCATTACTTCTCATTACTTTTCGCTGCTTTGCATTACCCGCTCGAAGCACATGCTGAGAATTGCAAGAAGAGAAACAGAATGGTGAGAATGAAGGCTGTAAGCTTTTATGACAGCAGAGCCGTGCAGCTGGACGAGCCCCAGAATGGCGACAAGCTCCGCATACACCAGAGGAACCACAAGTTCCTCCTGCTTCGCGGGGTTGTGCTGCACATCAAAGGAGCCGTCGGCCGTCACCAAGTCGGCCTGAAAAAGAATAAAAGGAATCAAAAGAATTAAAAGAATTAAAAAAAGCAAAAATAGAAAAAAAAGGAAGAAAAACGATGCACAAGTCGCCGCAAGTGTACGTACACCCCGGCGCAAGCTGAAACCACAAGGAAGCCATCAAACCCTAAACCCTCAAAACATTTCCCCGAAACTCCCTTCTGAATCTTTTGCAGCCTAAAGCCCTAACCCCAGCCCAAACCCCCAAAGCTAACTCCAAGCTAGGCCGAAGCCCCAGGCCCCAAAAGAGCTAAAAGGGTTTTGAAGTGGACTAGGTTTAGCGCTGAACTAGGGTTTAGGGTTTAGGGTTTAGGGTTTAGGCGCCCCTGCGTCCAGCGAACCCGTGGAAACACGAGCCTCAAATCGAGCTGAAGGGGTTTGCACGTTGACTAGGGTTTACGCGCATCAAGGTTTAGCGCTGAACTAGGGTTTAGGGTTTAGGGTTTAGGGTTTGGGGAGCGTGAAACCGCGCCGAAGGGCTTGAAAGTGGACTAGGGTTTAGGGTTTACCAGGCCGAAGGGGGGCACGCTGGGGTGGGCTTGGCGAGTCAGTTGTTTCCACAAAAATTCAATATTTTCTTTTTTGCAAAGATTTCCACTTCCATCGGGGCTGCTGATCCAGCGCCTCTCGGAGTGTCTGTACAGCTCGTCGTCGTCCAAAACCTCCAAAGGGCTGCAGCCCTCGAAGTAAGGGTTTAGCGAAGCAGCTCGCCACGAGAAGAAAACCCCTCCTGCAGCAGCACAACATCCCTAAACCCTAAACCCTAAACCCTAAACCCTAAACCCTAAACCCTAGGCTGCAGCCCCGAGCTGCGCGAAATGCCCGGACGCATGCAAAAAAACGCAGAAGATATTCAGGCAGCATTTTGAGGTGGGCGCACGCCTCCTGTGGGCAGTCCGGCAAAGCAGCAGCAGCAACAGCAGCAGCAGCAGCAGCAACAGCAGCAGCAGCAACAGCAGCAGCAGCAGCAACAGCAGCGGCAACAGCAACTGCAGCAGCAGCAAAGGCATACGGGCTTCAGTTTTAACGTAGTGGTTTGTGGCGGCTACAAATCCACCAGGGCATTCACAAAGATGAATGCTCTTAAATACCCTAGGCTGCTTCTGCTTCTGCTGCTGCTGCTGCTGCTGCTGCTGCTGCTGCAGCAAGTGCTGCAGCCTGGGCTTCACGATTGGGGTCTTTGCGAGAATTTCGTAAAACTTTGTCCACGAGTTTATCAGCAGCTCTGGCGCGTGTCCTTCCCTGTCGCGCACCTGAAAATAAAAAATTAAATTAAATTAAATTAAAATGTTTATGAGGCCAAGTTGAGCAAAGAAAGAACAAAAAGGAGGTCTGCGCAGGTCTGCTGCAGCAGCTGCTGCAGCAGCAAATACGGCAGCTGCACGAGGAGAACTAGCAGAAAGAAAGAAGTTAGCAGCAGCAGCAACAACACGGCAGCGCGCCTCAGCAGCAGCAGCAGCAGCAGCAGCAGCAGCAGCAAGAGCAGCGCTGCTAGCCGAAGCGGAAAAAAGCACAAGCGGCAGCAGCAGTAGAATCAGAAGCAGCAGGAAAGGCAGCAGCAGGTGTCCAGACACCTGAGTTGAGCAAATGCTTTCTCACCTTCTGCTTAATTGCTGGAATCACTTTTTTCAAAACATCAGTTTTTGCTGTATGTCTTTTCCACTCATCAATTGGAATAAAAGACAAAAAGTTGCGCCGCTCCTCCAGCCGCTGAACCACCTTTTCTAGTTCTGGGGCCCCGTAGCCCGGGGTGCTGCACACAGCAGCAGCAGCAGCAGCAGCAGCAGCAGAAGCAACAGCAGCAGCAGCAGCAGCAGCAGGCACTAGATACGAACATGAACGAATGGAGTCCTCTGGCATGTGCTGAGCTCCAGCCTTCGCCAGTCGTGCTGCTTCTACTGCAGCTTTTACTGCTGCTGCTGCTGCTGCTGCTGCTGCTGCTGCTGCTTACTTACTTGCCGACTAGCTTGACGGACTCGCAGATGCACTTTATGCGTTTGCTTTTGCAGTGAGCGCACGGAGGATCGCTGCCAGGAATTATGGGCCCCTCTAGTTGCAAACTGAGCAAAGAAGTACTAAAAGCATATTGCTTTTCTATTTCAATGTCTTCTGCAACGCAATCAGGGGCCCCCGGGGGGGCCCCCCATGGTGACCCGTCCATAAGGACCCTCTTGGTCCAACACTTGTAGGCTCAACCCGCTAAATATGAGGGGAAAATAATTTCAAGGATTCCCTCTTGAAGAATAGGGTTAGGAGTTTCGCGTTGAGTGGTTTGGCTCTCCAGTGGCAGCTCGATGAAAGGCCGATAGCTCGAGAACATGCTGTGTATTTGGTCCAAAATGCTGCACCTAGAGCCAAAAGTTGCGTTAAAATTCAAGAAAAATACCTTAAATCCATTATTTGACGCAGCAGATAGAGGTTGCCCCCAATTGAGGCTTACGTCATTAGGGGGAACGGGGCCCCTGGTACCCAGTGGGGCCCCTGGGGGCCCCCTTGAGCGAAGTAATAGCTCTGAACCAACAAAGGGTGCTCTAGCCCTCAGAGAATCACCCGTACGTGTAATAAGTAATTATTACGTTGGGTAGAGTGAGTGAGAGAGGAGGTCTTGGTGTCTATTTTAGCGGTTCGGCGCACTAGAGCCAGAGTCTAGGCTCTGGCTCTGAGGCATTGAGGTTGCTAGGCCGCAAAGAAGGCCAGTTTTAGACGATTAATCACACTAAATTAAATAGGAGACTTCAACTCGAGTCTTCAGGGCCGTCCCAAGAGGCGCAGAACCCCACGGTAGCTGTATCAGAGGCCAGGAGCCCAAAAGACTGGCCAAGCTTCATGCTCACCTAGCTTAGGCCATTACATGGCCATTCGTTTTGGCTCGATTTCCTTTTATATCTTAGTAACAGTGAAAAATAAAGTATTTTAAATAAGCCTTTTCATAGTTCAGAGCACCAGAATACTCCCCACGGCAAAGGTCCACAAGCAAAAGAGCTCTCGAGGGTCCTCTCATCGGAGCAAAACCGCCATCGACAAATTTTCAATGATAATTTTCCCCTGTTTTGCAACGGCTTTCTGGGGCATTTGGCCCTCGTCTCTCATCCCCCGAGTGCTCCCCAAAAAGGAGGATCCTAGTGCTACTATGTGGGATATAAACAAATGAAAAAGGCACTTGCTTTGCTGCAATTTTGCGTGCCCTGTTCAAAATTTCTATGCCTCATTTTCTCTCTAGCTCAGCATGTGGTGGTTTTTGAAGTTTGTGTGGTTGCCGCGCCCTAGACTTTCGCCAGCTACGAACACCTCCACAGTTATCCATTGAAATATTTCCGTTCAGACTTCCGCAGGACACTGTTGGATTTCTGCGGCCTATTTCCTCGGCCTGCGTTACCTGCCACGAAGTTTCCATGTTTTAAGTATGTCTGCAATGCACAGGAGCGGGACAATTTCACGACAGATGACGAAATATCCTGCATATATTGGCCTACGCTGCTGCCTGTCTCGTGAGCTCAGGGCACCGATACAAAGAGGTTACCGAAGGCATTCCGAAGAGGCCAAGTTCCTCCTTTCATTTGCATGCTTTTAAGCATTTCTCTTTGTGAGAATTGCGGTGCGCATGCTTTCCAGCATCACAGTGAACCACTGAGGGACCTCCACGGAAGCCTCACGTAGTAAACTTAGTCACAAGGTCGAGAAGAAACGAGCTGGGCACGAGAAACAGGCAAGCCTCAATAAATCTAACGTGGACGCCATTGACAAATGCCGTCTGAAACAACTAGGCGTACGCTCATTGACATAAAGTGCACGTTTTTAACTGCTTGCTTCGAGAAGAAGAGCTTGTACAAATATAAAGGCGCACCTAGAAAAGCATCAGAGCGGAAAGTGATCGTTCTAATGCCAATTTTTGTGTATTTGGGTAGGTCTAAAAGGATACAATTTCAATTGAAGCCAGTGAAGCGCAAATGCAAAATACATGCTCGCTGCAAGGATGGCACAAAAGATTGCAGAGGGACAGAAACTATGGAAAGCACCTCGTGGCGCGCAAACAAACAGCCCCTGCGATGTTCCGTGGTAACTGGCATACGCGGAAAACCAGATCCCAGCGGACTCTCAAGAGCACACATCGCGTAAGTACAGCAGCATACCTTTACTTCAAAAAGCCGTCATGATATCCGTGAAGTAGGCATGCTCGCCTCTCCATCGAGGCTGTTTGCCTTCGCAGCGCCAACACACCTCAAAGCACATGCTCAATGGTGAGGAACTGACGCGTCTCAAGTCTTCTTTGAGTCTTCTAGTTCTTCGTGTCTCTAGGTTCTTCAATATAACAAAGCTATGAGGTCAAAGATGCAGTATCCATCGAATAAGACAGGCTGAAGTGCGTTCACGGGCAGCCGGCCGGTGTATTTGCCACAGGCATCACTTGCAGGATACGAGAATGCTACGGCTTATACAATGTGCTGCTTTCACATGGCGCAAGCTTGACAAAAAATGCCGTCCTTCATAAGTCCTGCTGAGGCTCGCTGCCTTCCTCTGGCTCGCCCACGGCAACCCCTTGGAATTCTCGAGTACTTCTGTGGGCGCCCGGTGCCCTTACAGTCATCGGGGGAACACTAGGTTGAGTCAGTTCACTCGCATGCATGGCAGGAGCACGCAGAGGCCCCAAAGGTGGGTCAAGCATAAGCATTGGCGGTGCTGGGTGTCCAAAATCGGGATAGCCGGCAACCAGAGGCTCTGCCGGTGTCGCTCCACCCACTGCAGAAGATGGCCAGACAGACGAGCTAGTCGCTGACTTATCATCAAACTCAGCAGGCTGGTGGAATCCCGGGAAAACAGGATAACCTGCTTGCTGTGGAAGCTGGCCTGGACCCTTGAAAGCAGTGTGGGAAGACCACTTTTCAGATACTTTGGTTACGTTCTCCATAAATGCACGGTGGTCGGGAGTGGAGAATGGGGTGCTCGGGCCAAACATTTCAGCCTGAGCTGTACGTAGCCTTGGGGTGTCTCCTGCAAGGTACAGCGACCCACCTTTACCGGGATGACTAGAAGTGTCGAAATAACCCGTGCTTTGGCGTGGACTATCCGCCAAATGAGAAGAAAACGGCTCTTCCGTTTCCTTGTCGTCACTTTGAGCCACACTTTTGCTGTATTGGTGCCCTCTGTTCAGTGCTGCGCGGAGTTGCTCGGGAGACTCCAACTCCATCACCATATCACTGTAACTCTTCTGCTTCTGATGCAAGATATGCCTTAGGTAGGCATTTGGAATAATAGGTGACTGCAACCAAAAGTCTTCGTTTTCCAGCAGCCAGCAACGGAGAAACGGATCCCTAAAAACCTGATTTTTGCGGGTGTAGACGAGACCGGTGAGAAGATCCAGGGCCTCATCCAAGTCGTTCTTATATTTTGTTTTGTCAACCCTATTCAAATTATCGATATTTTCAAGTACTTTCTGCATGTGTTTCAGTGCTCGTTCTTGTAAAAGGACCAGGGTACGCAGCCTTTCCAAACGCTGCTTTCGGTTCAAAAGTGATGCGTACGCCCCTGAAGTTGCAAGCTTCCTAAGAGTCGACACGAATATGTAGTACTTAAACTGTGCTCTTCTTATTCCTGAACGTGGAATGCTCAGCGACAAACGAGTTGTTGCCCAAGCGACTTTCCAGGTTTCGCAATCAATAACGTTTTCTAGATGTGCCTCAGTCACTGCTTTCAAGGCACTGAACTCCACAATCGCCATGCTCGCAAGAAGGCACATGGCTCTGTGACGGTGGGCGGCGCCAAGTCTTAGTAATACGGGCTCGTTGGATTCCACCACATAGCTTATTGTCAACACGACGGAGGATGCCCGTCGAAGCAGCTCCGCCTCTACCAGCCCACCTTCAGCATCACAGGACTGCTGACAGGTGTCAGCAGAGACATAAGAGCAAGCCGATGATGTACTCTGCTCCTCACCAGCAGCAAGGGACCTGAGGCCTCCTCTCTTCCATCTTCTCATGCCGAGCTTCGAAGCACACCGCAAAACCACAAACGCCACAACGATGGTTGCAACAGCTAGTAAGACCACAAATCGAGCGTTGGCCAAAAGCTGGCTTCCTTTCCTGTTTGCCAGGAAAGGAACTAAAACCTCTGTACTTGCGTCGCTGGTTGGCAGCTGCCTCTGTTGCTTCACGGGCATTATGCTGCTATACAGGGAACCTGGTTTCGCTCCTCTGTCGCGTAGGGAATCGTCAAGCGCCTTGACTATGACCTCCTCAGCGTTATCCTGCATTGCAGTCAGTTAAAATGTCGCGTGAAAGTGCATTTAAAACGAGCAATGCCGGTACCCAGGAGCCCGCCAAGCAATTCTCGACGAAAAAGAGGGGCAGAGGCACGCAGTACGAGGCCTCCGCCTCGACTCTTTTGTGCCACCTGATTGCAAAATGTTTACGCGAAAGATTCAATAGGGACTAGTGCACAAAGGCCATCGCTGCGTTGCCACCAGTGTTACCAAGAAAATACCGAACTGCAGCTGTTTAACACTGGGCACCGAGAGGCCCACAGTACTTCAGAAAGACGAAAGACACGGCTTCCCTATTTCTCCTGAAAACACGTATACCTCAGTATTATTATTGGTGGAAGAACCATAGATCGGTCAGGGGAGTATCAGAGGCTCGTCGGTCCTCGCTCACATGCTGGACTCTGAAGCCTTGCGCCAGTATTTCAGATGTCTCGCAGGCATCTCGGGAGCCTTCTTGTTATGATTTTACCGGAAAACGCAAGCTATTTCCCCGTTCTGTCTACTCTGTTTCTCGTGCATCATACTGCGCTCCCCCCAGGGCAGCTTCTCTAGAACATCGATGCAATGCGGCCCGAGCCACATCTCTAGAGCGCACTACGTCCTGCCTCGAAAAACGCATCCTTTCTTGAATGTAAACTTGCAAAGCAGTGCATGCTGCTGTTAATTACTTAACCAATATTAAAGCACTCCTAATCCATCTCAGGGCAGAGTCACCCTTGCGTACGTAGAGCAAGAGGTTCTAGGGGCCTTTTGTGGGCCCAGCCTAGCTTGCTTCACTCGGCGTTAAGACCGGTGTAGCATGATTTATATCTTATTAAAATTCACTTCGGAGCCTAATGGAATGCAAGCACGGTGCTACAGTGATACAGGGTCACGACCAAATAGTTCTCGTGGCACAGGCATAGTAGAGACGAGGGGGGAGCTAAAGACCATGCCACTGAAAGACCCCGTTACGCGTCCAAAGCAAATTTTGGTTTTTGAGCAAATGTTAGACAGAAAAGTTATCAAAAAGATGTTGTTTCATGGGGCATTGCCTCATACAACTAAGCATGTACGGAACATGGGGGACGTTCTCAATTGATGCAGCCGCGGTCGAGATCCCGCTATCTCGATCCACGCAGGAGCACTGCCCAAAAGGCCCATTCTGTATCAGCGGCAAGAACTGTACGGAGTTTGTATTCGGGGTAATGATGGAGCCCCGAGGCCGCACGTTACAATGCGTTGTGTAATCCATGAATAACCTGGTGACACAACCTGGGCAGTGGGTGTGGCAGTCCCACTTTTCGGAAAAAGCCTAGCTGCAATTCTCCTGAGTTCTGCCTATACAAAATCCAGCTGTGTCTAAAACTTCGTAGTGCCCGTAACAATGCACATCGCGTGTCAAGCAATAACACTCTGTGGGAAGCGTAGTATCATTTTCCACAGCGAAGCCGCCGAACGCAGCACAGGAGGACAAAAAGAGCCAAGCGCAAAACAAACTACGAAGCAGTTACCTGTAGACACAATTTAGTAATGGCCAAGACTCATGGCGTCAACAGGATTTTCCAGAGCTTCGCAGAGACCTCTCGACGGCCATTGTGTGCTGCAAACCCAGAAAATTTACGCATAAGAAACAAACAGCTGGATACTTAGTGCTAGGTTTCTTCTCCAGACACCGTTTAGTATGAAGTGAGTAGTCTCATCCCAATTTTCATCTAAGGGTCGCACAACACCGTCTCAAGCTGCCGCGGATATCGCCATTTGCACTGACGAGCCAGCGCATACTGCTGTATGCGTGCAATATATCGTCCTTCAGCAGTGTCAGAAGGCTATAGCTCCTAAAGTATACGAGCTTAGTAATGTCGTTTTCGGTGAGATGAACAGCTGTCTTGCAAGCTTCTACGGACCCAAGCCGCGGCCTTATACAATTTTAGAAACATATGCCAGCGGTGGGTCTCGTGGTTTTTCAAGTGTACAGACGGCGAAAAGAGAGGGAAAAGTGATGTTGAAGAAAGTACTGGCTCTCAGTGGAAGCCTCAAAGGCACTACAAAGTGTCTGGTATTGCAGAAGCACCAGCACAAACAACCTCACCACAAGCAGTCCGGAGTTGAACACTAGTGCAACGGCAGGAAGAGACGAGAAGTCTGTGGTCCCGAAAAAGTGAAATGCTTTAACTCGAACTTGCATTCGCCACTGCTGCTTAGGCAGCTAGTGCAGGCGCAGATCCTAAAATATGCGCTTCGCTTCTGGGTCCTGGATATTTTCAATAGAGTTTTTGCCAGTTCAGCGACTTTAGCACAGACCCGCGCTGTCCCTCATCTTAAACCCAAACAGCTAGGTGCCAGATTAAAGCTTAGAGAGTGTGAAGCTGGTTTCTTTAAACCAGCATATTTCTCAAGCAACCACAGGCCGCAACAGCGAGCTGTAACAACTTCCTACAGAAAATTTCAGCATGAGCAGCAACAACGTTGGTGCTGTTGACGTTGCCGCTACTGCCAGTAGTGCTGCCGTTTATGACGTTAATAGTAACAAAAGCAAGTGCTGCGGAACAGGTAGTAGCATCAGGAAAGCAGTACCGGAACAGCTTCGAGACCTCTCTACATTTGGCGTCGTTTGCAAGCACGGTGTAATTCCTTTTTGAGCTTGAGAATAAGCTTTCAGCCGCTGCTTCTGTAGTTCCTTTCATTGTTCTGTCTGTTTAAAAGGGTCGTCATGCCTCAGACTCAGCCTGTGGGTAGGCCATTTTTGTTTTGAAGGAGGTGTGTACCTTTGGATCCTCCGCATGGCAGCAGTAGCACCAGCAACAGCACTCAGTAGCAAATGCTTGCATACGCATGCGATTTTCACGGAAAAGTTGGTGTTCTGGTGCGAATCTTAAGATGTTCATTCTGAAAATGCGTTTCCGCCGGTTCTCCTGGCGCCAAGCCCAATGCAAAATTTTCCGACGCTTCTCTTTCTACTGTTAAGCAAGCACACCTGACGACGAATTACACGAACGTTGCGGTGCTACTAGTGCATTTATTTCTGCAATGTATACAGGACAAAACAGCGTACGTATTTCTGTACTTGCCTTTTTGCAGATTTCGCAGAAGGCGCTGAACACTTACTACTTGTCTAGTGTCATACTATCCGTGATTCAACCCAAGAAATCGCTTCACTGCCATCCATGCAGGGGGAATATATTGATTGCCCTCAAAATATTACGAGGTTTAAAACTAATAACAATCACCTGCCCAGCACTTCTTTTCTAGTTGCTAGAGAAGTCCCACAATTGCCCCGAGTCGCTGCTGCGCTGATGCAATAGGAAAGTTCATGGAGAGTTTTTTCGAGCAATAGACCAAGCACTAGAACATAATACGTGTCATACGGAGTGCGTTTCAGCGAGCACGAGAGTCTAACACGGGCCAGGAGCATTTTTGTAGCCTCGAAGGGGTCCAAGACATCTGGTTGGACGCAATCAGCGGTTACCTGAAAGTGAAAGCAAAAGCAAAAGCCCACGACACACCAGGTTCATTAGAGGCTACGTGTACCACAAAATATCTAAGTATTCCTGAAAGCAGTTTTTTTCGAATATTCAGCCACACATTCAAATAGCATGCTGGCACAATAGATGCAGGATGTATTGGTGGTAGAGCGTACCTTGTGAACTTAGAATCCCTGGAAGCAAGGATCCCGGAAATTTTTTTCACGGTTAAGACTGAATGACGATGACGACTTTGCGTCTTCTAGCTCATTTTCACAATTCATTGTTAATCATTATCTACCTGCTTTGATTAAGCTGCGAGTCTAAGTGCAGGTAATAACAGCTTGGCATCAAACTAGAGAACTGGTGAATTTACGCTCCACTTTCTCCTGCTAGTTCGGTTGTGCATCTGAAGTTTTGTTTCGTTCCTAATAAACCCATCAGACTTTGTCCCGGCGATATGTTCTTCAGAGATTTCCATCTGTTACTGATTCTCACTACGTTATTGCTTGAGTATCTGGCTTTCTAGAGCCTGAATTCTCTGTGAAATTACTTGCGGTTAGCTGATTATGGGTCTTTCGAGCACTTTTTTATGCATACGAATTTTGTTAGTTTGCATGAAGGCCCAAACTAGCCCGATTTGGATACACAGCAACAATAGGTAGTTTGAGAGCATTCGTTGAAAGAGAGTTTGGTCCGTCTGTGCAAAAGGCTCTACTCTGCTTATGGATTAAAATACGCGAGAACGCCAGCTGGGCAAAAACGAACGCCACCTTTCCTGCTGAGTTTCTCTGTGCGTGTAGAAATGCACACGGAAATGGACAAGCAACGGTATACTTCAGGAAAATTGGCCTTTGTGTTATCTGCCTTCCCCTTTCTGAAACCTCTCCGAAATGTCTCCTTTTTACTTTCGTGTCATTCTGTGAAGCTTATTATGTTCTCTAGTGCATCGTGAAAAGCCACACTACGCCACTTGAAGCATTCTGCTCTGTTACCTCACGCGTCTGCATAGCAGTGTATTCTTACGGACGCGTTCCTTGATGCTGTCTCACGCTTACATGCTAACCTGCTGTTAACTGCCTGGTGTCGTGTACACCTGCAGTGTCTTGAGTGTTGATCCATCTGGCCTAGTGTTAGCTGTAGACTAACGGCTGCATTAACGTAGCCAAGTGTAAACAGTCGGCAGCAGTTATAAAAACTCATATTTTCTAATATGAGTTTTTATAATTGTTGCCGACTGTTTACACTTGGCTAAATCTACATGGCATGATATGCTAAATCTTAGCCTAGAAAGCTTTCGAACAGCACTATGTAAAAGTAAACTCCTCTCTTAGCTAGCTAATGCATTTTGTTTTCCCGACTATGTCTCAACTTGTTGCCATGCAAGCATTCCAAAAGGTGTGTGGCGCAATTGCCTGACCTTCGAGGAATCCGTCGGTCACAGAAATAAAACAAAATAAACGGAGACCTGAGAAACAAGAAGCCCTCATAAAGCGCAGAGCTAACGCTTGTGACAATTCAACTTACACAGTCACTTGTGCTTTGGAG